AAAAAAATTTTTTTTAAAAAAAGGAAGGAAGGAAAGGAAGGGGTGCTGCTCTTGCCAGAGCCTGGGACCAGGATCTGGGCGCGGAACTCCCCCGGGGGAGCGGCAGCTGTGCAGTCCTACCTTCCCAGCGCTTCTGGGCCACATGGGAACGAGGTCGGGTCGGGGCTCGGGCTGCTCTGCGGCAGTCACCCTGGGTGGGGAAGCGCTGCAGCCGGGAGGGAGCTGGCCCTGCTCAGTTGTGGCCTTTCCGTGGCAAAGGCTCGGCCTCAGCTCCTCCAGGTCAAGATGCAGTGTGTGGGGTTCACAAGGATCCCCCGGCTCCCCCCCCCGGGGTGCCCAGAACCTGCAGATGCCTGACTGTTGGGGGAAGGGGAGGAGTGGCCCAGGCACGGAAAGCTGAGCGCTGGCCTCAGACCCCCCCAGAGATCCTCCTACCTCAGCCTCGCAAGAGCTGGAGCCCAGGTGTGCGACACCATGCTGGCTTTGGTTTTTGTTTTTCTTAGTCCTTGTGTGCAACGCATGGTAGCACATACGGGGGAGAGCTCGTGCACGGGCATGACACCTCTGCACATCATAACTCTCCTCACCTCCCCCTTGAGCTCTTTAAATTTGGAGGCAGGGTTCTACATTGCCCAGCCTGGCCTCAAATTTGAAATTCTCCTGCCTCTGCCTCCCAAGGAACTGGGAGGATCATCGGTGTGGGGCATCCCGCCCCCGCACTGTGCTTGATTTAGAGGCTGCCAGAACCGGGTCCAGACCTGGTTGGACCCAATTCCCTGCTCGCCTGGAACAGCAATGGGAGCCATGAATGCTGGGGCCTCCTCAATCAGCTTCCCGGGCTCCCATACCTCGGGCTACACGTGGACTGCTGAGAGCCCCAGGAGCACAGGGCCACTAGAACCACAGCAGTGTCCACTCCTGTGAGGCAGAGGAGGGCATCTAGAGAGGGTCCAAAGTGCACACCGACGACTGCCAGCAGGTTGGCACCCATGTGTAATCCTTCAGGCTGAGACCGGAGAGCTTCATTAATCTGAGGCCCACTGAGACGCTGTTGTCAAATAAACCAAATATAAAAATGAATTCCTTCAGAACCTATGTGGCAAATGTCAGCTTCCTATATATATATTTTTTAAATTAATTTTTATATTTTTTTGTGGGTTTTTGACACCGGGAATCAAACTCAGGACCTCGCCAGGCAGGCCCTGTGCTGCTGAGCCATCTGTGGCACTACTGGGACCTGATTAGACTCCGTGTTTGCTCTCAGGTACACCAGCAGGCCTAATTATTTATTTATTGAGACAAGGTCTGGCTCTGCAGCCCAGGTTGGCCCCAGCCTCCCAAATTCTGGGATTACAGGTGTGAGCCACCACCTCAGCTTTATTTTTTATTTTGAGAGGCTCTTCCCGAGTTGCTTAGGTTAGGGTAGAATTTGGAATCCTGTAGCCTCAGCGTCTTCCAGTGCTGGGATTAGGGGTGTGAATGGCCACACCCGCTGTTTCCCGGTTTCTGGACAGGTTTCCGCCCGAAGGTGGGCTGCAGCTGCCTCATCCCCAAAGGGAAGGTTGCAGCCTGCCCCGGGCGGCCCCAGCCTCCCTGCCCCCACCGCGGCTCCCTGCCGGGCCTCACAAGGTCAGAGCACAAAGGAGACTTTCAGGAGGAGAAAACTCCGGTTCTTCCACCAAAATTACTGTTAAAAAGTGTTCGCTGAGGAGGGAAGGGCATCACAGCATGAGAGGACGCGTGCCCGGGCTCAGACCCAACACCTTGGCCTGGCTGGCAAGGCCCCGGATCCAAGCCGGTCGGAATTTATTTCCTTATTTACTTGGTGCTCCCCCGGGGCCCCACACTCAGCGGCACCTCCAGCCCTGTTTATCTGGGGACACAAGGTCACACTGGGCCCGGGCCCAGTCTGTAGCCCACCTTTGCATGGAACCCGGCGCAGCCACAGTGCCCGGATGTCGGGGCTGCGCCCCAGGACCTTGCTCCCCATCCCCCTTCCTAAGATCCTGAGGCACTGTCTCCCTAAATAGCCCAGGCCTGACGCCGACGGGGGACCCTTCTGCCTCAGCCTCCCGAGCCACTGTTGCCCGGGCATGTGCCAGGACACCCTGCAATGCCCTGCTTGATTCGCCTGTCCAACTTGAGGAAGTGGGGAGGGGGCTGGCTTGCTCCTTAATCACGAGAAGTAAAATGCACTTAAGCACGAGCGAATGACTGTAAGGCCTGGTGACGGAATGTTTTTGTATGATGGATTTTGGGGGGCTTTTTTGAATGAGACAGGGTGTCGTTCTGCAGTTCAGGCTGGCCTTGAGCTCACTTGCTAGTCCAGGCTGGTTTGGGTCCTCCTACCTCAGCCTCCCAGGTGCTGGGATGACAGGCATGTGCCACCAGGCCCAGCTGGGAATGTTTCCTGTGTTTGCTTTTTATCTTTGGCCTAAGTCGGGATTGAACTCAGGCCCTTGTGCTTGCCAGGGAAGCACTTATTCTACGGAATTCCCCAGCCCCATGTATTTGCGTTTCGAAACAGGGACTGGCTAGTAGTTCAGCCTGGCCTTGAATCTGCTGGGGTCACCCTGCCCCGCTTCCCGCGTGCTGGGGCAGCAGGCAGGTGCCATCTTGCTCGGCCTTGGAATTTTTCCCTCAGGGTCCCGCATTCTACTCCGACGGGCTTTCTCCATACAGGAATGGAGGCCAGTTATAGTCACTGAGACCGGGTCTCCCGGTGAAATTCAGGCTGGCATTCACAGTGCTCAAACTCCTGCTTCGGCCTCCCCACTCTGGGATTCCAGGCATCTGCCACCATGCCCACCTAGACCCTAGAGTAGCCTGTAAATTGATAAAATAGTCCTGCCTCAGCCTCCCGCGCGCGACCACACCCACCCAAACCCATAATCCTTCCCTGGTACAGGAAATTGAAAGGATCAGGAAATTGCTGCAGGAGGCTGGACGGGAAGGAGCCCCAGAGGGTGGGGACAGGGGTGGGGGCGGAGGAGGGTCCCGTCCCCTCCCGGCCGGGGGCCTATAAGAGCAGCTGCCGCCGAGCGAGCGATCCAGAACGCCTCGCTCCGGACTCCGAGATCTTTACCTGCGCGGCAGCACCTCCTGGACCGGGACACCCCGCGGGACCCGCCTGAACCTGTCGTCGCGACCGACCTCGCCTGGCCTAAACCGGCTCGCGCTCCTCCGCTCGGCCTGCGCCACTCAAACCGTGGGGGCACTTTGTGCTTAAAGATGGAAAGTGCCGCTAGGTTCGAGTGTCGCCGGCCGAGCTCTCTTCGCCCCGCCGCGCCCCGTCGGGTCGGGCTCGGTCCCCGGCGCCCCCAGCTGCCGGTCTGGTACCCCCGGATGTCGTAGCACTCTGCGGCCTGACACAGTGCTACTGCATTCGGGTGTCTCCGGCCGGCACCGCCGCGAAGGAAGAAAGGGGCCCGGGACGGTGTCGGCCTGGGGTCCGCGGGCAGCTCCCAGGTTGGGGAGGCCGAGGCGGGAGGGCCTTAGGCCCTGGCGGTTGGGACCTCCGGCGACATGACCTCCAGGCACGGGGACGGGTGCCAGGGCCAGGTGTTCCCATTCCGCTTGCTGTGCCGATCCTCTAAGCAGGAGAGCGTGTCGTCGAACTGGCTCCCATGCTGTGGGGCCTGCAGTGTCAAGTTTTCCGTTTTACTTTATTAGACCACGGAAGCGCCCCAGCCTGGACTCAGCGCGGCTCTCCTGCCTCAGCTTCCCGGAGCAGAGGTCTCCGCGTGAGCCTCGGACCGCGGCTAGCAAAAGGGAAGCGCTCCCCGTGTGTGCGTCTGGGAAGTGCTTCCTTTTTGCGCGTCGCTGTGCGAACAAGGCGCCCGTCCAGCCTGCACGCCACGCGGCCGTCCTGCAACCAGCGCTTCACCCCGGGGCCGGGCCACCTGGAGGAGGGTCGCCGGGCGGGCTGGGCTTACTTAACTGGGTTGATCTTGATTCTGCGGGGTTCGGGGGTCACATGAATAAAACGTTTAATGAGAATCACTGTACTTTAGTGTGTCTGGGTTTCGCGGCTCCGTCGGCGCCCTCGCAGCTAGAACCGCCCCTTAACTAGGAAAGTACACATGAGTTGGTCTTTGCATATAGGCCACAGTAGGCTGGGCTTGGATCCTGCCTCGCTGCACAGGTCCCGAAGGCTGGGTGGTGGGTGGCGGTGGCTCCTGACTCGCCCCACGTGACTCGGACGTAGCCTGAAGCCCCGCAGCTTGCTTGGGCTTTTCAGCAGCCGAGATCCAGGGAGGGCTTAGAGGCCCGCAGCGCCGCCAGCCTTCTGTGCGTGCCTTTGCTCAACTATCCCAAACAGCCTGCGGGGCCAAGATAAGGGATCTGAGCAGCATGCGGGATGCGGGCTCTTGGAGCCTTGTGTGTAACAGATGGGGGCAGATGAAACATCTCTTAGGCAAGTTTCCCATTTTAAGGGTCGTAGATGTAGGGGGCTCATAAACGGTCTCGCTCCAACTGGTTCGGAGCCCGTACGGTACTGGGACAGGCCCCTACGCTTGCCAGGCAGGAAGACCGTTGAGCTATCTTCCCCAGCCTTTGCATATTTGACCAGATCTCACTAGCAGTTATGGTTGACCTTGAGCTCACTTGGTAGCTCAGACTGGCCTCCATGATCTTCCTGCCTCGGTCTAAGATTGCAGGCGTGCGCCACCACGTGGAGCACGTGAGATTTGCCTTTTTTTTTTTTTTTGGGCGGAACCGGAAATTGAACGCGGGCAAGCGCTTATTCCACTGAGCCATCTCCCCGGCCCCTCCCCTCGCTTTTATTTTATTTTATTTTATTTTTTTTTTAAGGAATTCAACACAAGGGGGGGAGGATGGGGGGGGAAGGGGAGATGGCTCAGTAGAAAAAGCGCTTCTCTGGCAAGCGCAAGGGGGCCCAGTTCAATCCCTGCTTCCGCCAAAAATAAATAAATTGCTAACCTGCTGGTGTTCCTACCTCAGCCTCCTCCAGTGCTTGGACTCCAGGCCATCCTCCAGGCATTCAGGTATCTCAGCTTCAAATTCCTAAGCTGATGAAGTAATTTCAACTGTTTTCAAAAACAACTCATTTCACAGACTCGGGAAACAAGGTGTGAAGTGGCGTGGGAGTAAGCTGGCCAATGTCACCAAGTTGGTAATAGAATTTCCACTCTGCAGCCATTATGGCTGTGCAGGCCTATACAGCAGCACTTTGGAGGCTGAGGCAGGAGGACCTCCAGGTTAGAGGAGTTGGGCGCAGTATCCGTGTTTTGAGGCTTATTATCCAAGATCTGGGCTCAAGTGTGTGTAACCCCAGCCCCAACTGCAAATCCAGGCTATGTCCGTCCCCCTTGTAAAGGGCTGCAAGCTAACACAAACTCCCTCCCCAACCATCTCCTATAACATAGTCAGCTTAAGATGTATCTTATAAAAATATACTGGGGCTGGGGAGATGGCTCAGTGGAATAAGCGCTTCCCTGGCAAGCCCAAGGACCTGAGTTCAATCCCCAATTCCGCCCCCCCCCAAAAAAAAAATATATATATACACACACTTATCAGGGGCTGGGGAGATAGCTCAGTGGAATAAGTGCTTGCCTGGCAAGCTCAAGGGCTTGAGTTCAATCCCTGGCTCCGCAAAATAAATAAATAAATAAATAAATAAATAAATGTGTGTGTATATATATATATATATATATATATCACTAAGCTGTAAAAGGCCTTTTAGTTATAAACAGTTTGCAGCTGTGTCAAATATAGTTTCTATTGTTCGGTGCTAGATAACAATTTTTTTTTTTTTTTTTTTTGCGGAACCAGAGATTGAACTCAGGCCCTTGTGCTTGCCAGGGAAGCACTTATTCCACTGAGCCATCTCCCCTGCGCTTGCCAGGGAAGCACTTATTCCACTGAGCCATCTCCCCGGCCCCTAGATAACAAATTTGCTTACCAAACTAGATGTGATTTCTGTTATAAATACCACCCCCACCTACGTTGGAGGCCAGTCAGCCTTCTCCTGCATGAGAAATGGCTGATGGACCTGAGCTCAGTAAATAAAAGGCTCTATTCAAATTTCTATCTGACTGATCTGGTTCCTATGCAGAGTTGACCCCTAACACCCCCTCCCCCAGAGGCTGGCACCCACTCTCACCAAAGCACCCGCAGCCTGCAGGTGGCCTGCCGCAGCCTCCCGCACAGCAGCCGCACACCCAGGTCCCCCAGGGCATTGTTGGTCAGGTAGAGCTCAGCCAGGGCCGGACTGCGGCCCAGCACGCAGGACAGATCCTCGCAGGCTGCCCCCGTGAGGCCACAGCTGTCCAGCCTGGGTAGGGGGATACGGGGAAGCCGGGTATCAGTGTGGCACTTAGGGCACCCCTTGAAGTGAGAGTGGCGAGGTCAGGACAAAGCCAGGCTGGTCACAGGAAGCATTTACGCGCACTTAAAGCCAACACAGAGGTGCTTACCTGTAATTCCTGCAGTTAGGAGGCTGAGGCAGGGGGATCAATGAGTTAAAGGCCACCTTGGGCTACATAGTGAGATCCAGTCTCAAAAAACCCAAAACATTTAAAAAAAAAAATTGTTGGGGATATAGTTTAGTGGCACAAGTCTCTGCCTGGCAAGTGCAAAGTCCTGAGTTCAATTCCTGGTACCTCCCCACCAAAAACAAAAATCAGGACAATTTTTGTGTGTGTGTGGAACCGGGGATTGAACTCAGGCCCTTGCGCTTGCCAGGGAAGTGCTTATTCCACTGAGCCATCTCCCCGGCCCCAATAAATAAATTTAAAGCAAGTAGAAAGCTATACATATATCCAAGCCGGCTTCAAGGGCAGAAGCGTTGTTAGAAACAGCAGCTCGGAGCGGCTGGGAGGCCAGGAGCCCCCCCCCCCGGCCGGCCCGCCCACTCACCACAGCTTGCGCAGCCTGCTCGAGGGGTGCCGCACCCCTCACCCAGCAGCGCGGCGCCTGCGTCGCCCAGGTCGTTGAAGCTGAGGTCCAGCTCCCCGAGGTGACCGGCCTGGAGCACGCAGGATAACGCGGCGCAGGCGGCCGGGCCCAGGCAGCAGATGCCCAGCCTGCGGGACAAGGTGTGAGCGGTCGGCTCCCACAGCAGGGGGAGGGGAGGGAGAAAGGGGGGAGAGGGGAGCCAGCGAGGCCCGCAGGACATCCCAGGGCCCACCGGGCCGAGGAGCGCCAGCCCAGCCGGGTTAGCTTGGAGACAGCTCCCTGTGCTGGGAGATAGTGAATCACAGTGAATCTCCGCTAAGCGCCCAGTGGAGTGATTCCTCACGGCAGCATTAGGCCCCCCGAAATGGACTCTGTTTCCAAAGGAGGTCACAGGCTGAGGGACAGGGGTTAGGACCCGAACAGAGGAATCGGGAAGAGACAGAATTCATTCACAGCACCCCTCCTTTAGAAGCACAACAGCTTCAAAGTGGGAGGTGGGATGGGGGAGGGTGCATGCTGTCATCCCAGTACCCCTGAGGCTGAGGCAGGAGGATTCCAGTGAGCTCAAGGCCAGCCTGAACTACACAGTGCGATCCTGTCTCAGAAAAAAAAAAAAAAAAAAAAGCCAGGGTGGCTTGTGCCAAGGTTCTGAGGCAGACAGGCCAGGCGGGCGCACAGGCAGTAGGGGCCTTGGCCACCACTGGGATGCTGCCAGACTCACCGCAGGGTCTGCACCTTGCACCGGGCTTGCTTGAGGCCCTTGCACAGGCACAGCACCCCGAAGTCCCCCAGGTCGTTGAGGCCCAGGTCCAGCTCTGTGAGGTTCGTGTTTGAGCTGAGGGCGGAAGCCAGGTCTTCACAGGCACCGGAGGTGAGGTGGCAGATCTTCAGCCTGCATAAAACCCAGCCCACGACAGGACACCACAGGGGTTTGTGCTGGGGCCTGATTCAACCCCGATGCCATCAGTTATTTATTCTTGGCTTTTAAGGACAGGGTCTGGCTGTGTAGTTCAGGCTGGCGCCTTGAACTCACGGCACTCTTTCTGCCTCAGCCTCCCCGAGGCTGGTGTTACATCCTCCGCTATCACAGTGTCACCCGTCCCGCTAAAAGCCTTTCTTGGGGCCAGGGAAATGGCTCAGTGGACTAAGCGCTTCCCTGGCAAGCACAGGGGCCTGAGTTCAATCCCCAGTTTCCTGGGGGGGGGGGTGATGCGAACCAAGAATCCCAGCACTCAGGAGGCCCAGGCAGGAGGACCACTGCAAGTTCAAGAGCAGCCTGACCTACAAAGTGAGCTCAAGGCCAACCTG